TAGGCTAAATTAGTTGTTTTGTTAAGATAACTATTGGTAATTTTATTATATATTGGTTGTAATTCCATGTGAAGTGATTGGTTTTCTAGCTTTTGATAAAATATTTTTCCTTCTGTTGACTGAATTTACATCTATGCATGAAATCTTTATCCATATAATGTATCCCTGGAGGTCCTTGAGTTTCTCGAGTGTGAAATTTTGGATTTGGCCTCTAATTGTATATCTGCAGGCTTCATACATCATCTCCCTTGTGCACTTGTATAAATGAATAAATAGAATATGGAGAGACAGACAGGGAGAGATAATTTTTTTATTGAAATGTTTAGAAATCGTTTATTAGATACTTATCTTGATAAGTGTTACCAAAATATAGACAGGCGACGGCAGGTTGGTGGTGGAAATAAGCCATATAATGTCAAAAAAGGAAAGATGTAAAAAAGGAAAGGGTGGGGCTATAAGGCACCTTGGTAATTCGGACTAAAAGACACCATTTTATATAAAATCCTCATGGAATTCTATTAAGGCACCATGTGCAGTGCGGTGGCCAAAGCATGGTAATTCGGACCTATTAAGCAACATGTGCAGTGGCCAAACAGAGAACACAAAGATGCACTCCAGAAAGGTGTAGTGGCCAAACAGAGAACACAAAGATGCACTCCAAAAAGGTGCAGTGGCCAAACAGAAAAATAAGAGAAAACATAGAACACAAAGATGCACTCCAGAAAAAAAGAATCAACAAATCAAAGAAATTACAGTATACCAATATCAACATTCACATTAAAGTAGTAAAGAACATTTTTTCTGCTGTCATTCTACAGTATACCAATATCAACACATAATGGTTTTACCCCAAATCATGGTTTTGTGATGATATTAAAGAAAAATAATTACCTTTGAGAACCTCCAAAGAATCGCCTGAATCGCTTGTATCGCTTCACAGGTCAGTCCTGAATCGCTTGAATCGCTCCACACAAACTAACCAAATAAACCCTAACTTAACTAAATCAGATGACCCAATAAACCCTAACCTAACTCAAAATCAAGTAAGAAAATACGCAATAAACTAACTCACCTCCACAAAATCGGCTGAATCGTGTGGGATTTGAGAATCGCGTGACAAGAGCGTGAATCGTGCTTGATCATTTATAAACACTGTAAGTCGCCTGAATCGTTTTCTTGGAGAATGAAACGTCATCTCTGTAATCGTGCGTGGAGAGAGCGCGATAGAGATAGCCGGTCGTTGGGCAGAGGTGCGTTGGAAAGAGGAGCGTCTTTTGAAACTTGGAAGCGATAGAGGGCCAACTGGATATGTATGCTTAAGGGTAGTACTAATGCATAAAGACTTTAAGACTTTCTGCATTAAAGGGTAGTACCTTGTGCATGATAAAGTGTTTTTAAGACTTTGGGCAAATTTGCTTTATAAAGTAATATAGATTAATTTACGAGATTCAATTTATTCGTGTTTAATTTTTTGCAAATTCACTTTAGTAATTAAAATAATAATACATTTCATACATGATTACATAGAACAATTTAAACCATAAATAAAATTTCACAAGTTATTCACTCTTTCTCTCTCTCTCTCTCTCTCTCTCACACACACACACATATATATATGGTCAGGTTCACATGAGAACAAGGGTTTTTCGTGAGACCCGTAAGACCAATTTATGTTCATCGATTAACTTTATAAACTAATTATCTAATGGTGTAAAATTGCACGGTGGCAATTTTATGATTATTGAGAAGTCTTGTGGCAATTTTGTGATTATGAATATTCAGATTATAGATCTAATCCAAATATTGAGAATTAGTCGTACGGGTCTCACGAAAAACCTTTGGTCTCATATGATCGCAAGTATATATATATATATATATATAAAATAATATATATATATATATATATATATATGGATCAATACAGACAATAATTACAATTAATTAGCAATTCTCTTGGAGACGACGGCGACCATGTTTTTTCCAGCATGGCACACAGCCACCCCAATCTCTATTGTCTTTATGATATACTTTTTCTGATTCAACATCTTCTACATATAAACATAAAAAAAATTAGTATAAATTTATGTGTTTTTTTGTGTATCATATATCTAATCATATATGATATTGAAACTTCTCGTCTTCTTCATAAAATTTTTACCTTCTCACCTAAACCTACTGTAACACCCCCGTCCCGCGTGGTCAAAGACGGGAGATGCCACAATTGGAATAAAACAAACATGTGCTAAATAAAACAGAGCGGCTAATAAAAATT